ATCCGTACCCTGATTCAACCATCTTAAAAAAAAAAGTCTACTCTGAAGGGCCTTGCTAGGAACTGGATTTTAAATTCCAAACATGAAAAAGAGCACAGAGGTCCAAACAGAATCCTCAGAAGTTGGATCAGAAGCCATATTAGGAAGAAAACAAAAATGTTTTAAATATCAGCAGCAGGAGCTTGACAAATCTTGGTCCATAGCTCCATTAAACCTTTTTATCTCTGGCTCAACTCTAGATTTTCACAACACCCCTTCAACAACTTCCAACTGCCAAAAAAAAAAAAAAAAAAAAAAGGTTATAACCTTCAGAAATATTTGTTTCTCAAGACTCAAATTGCTTTTTTTTTTTTTTAAGATTTTATTTATTTTTTGCGAGAGAGAGAGAGAACAAGCGGGGGGGGGCAGCAGAGGCAGAGGGAAAAGCAGGCTCCACACTAGCAGGGAGCCCAATGTGGGACTCGATCCCAGGACCCTGGGATCATGACCTGAGCTGAAGGCAGACGCTTAACGAGTGAACCACCCAGGCACCCCTCAAATTGCTTTAAATAAACATATAGAGGCACCACCTTCCAAACACGTTTTTAACAAGCTAATCAGATATGCTAGTACATATACACAGTAGTGCAAAAACTGCTCACATTACCCCAACCCCTTACCTAGACCCCTTTACAGCATCCTACCTGACTTTTCTCTATTCAAAGCAATATCTAGACCAGGAGCTTTCTTTCCTACCCCAACTCAAGTCCTCAGTTTGAGGAATACAGCTCCACGTGTACTTAAATTTGTCTATTTCTATTAACACCTTTTTTTAAGATAGTGGAAGATAGAGTATCAGAAGTATGTAGAGATTCAAGCACCTACCATAATTTGAGAACATACTCTATGCCAAATAACTCCTTTAAGCTATTCACTTGCATACTCAAATTAATTTCATAAAGTTCGGGATTCTACTTATTTTAAAAATTAAAAACATAAATTTGAAGACTGAAGAGTTAACTTGACCAAGTCTGTACAGTGGAAGAGCTAGAAACCTGACTTAAAATGCATATTGACTTGGGCGCCTGGGTGGCTCAGTCGGTTAAGCGACTGCCTTCGGCTCAGGTCATGATCCTGGGGTCCCTGGATCGAGTCCCACATCGGGCTCCCTGCTCGGCAGGGAGTCTGCTTCTCCCTCTGACCCTCCCCCCTCTCATGTGCTCTCTCTCTCTCTCTCAAATAAATAAATAAAATCTTTAAAAAAAAATGCATATTGACTTGATTCAAGTCGTCAAAGGTGCAAAGAGCTCTGAGAAGCCCACACTCAGGCAGTTTTTAATCGGCCTGACTACTTACAACCATCCACCTTTCCACGCCCCAGCTCACCCAAGATTGGTGGCACTGGCAAGAGCTACCCTCCTGGAAGGAATGGCACCTATTAATTTTCCCTCTCCCAAAACACCATTAATTTCCCCACCCTAGAACCACAGGTAGTTCCAAGAAACAGATTACCAAAGCCCTCCTCCCTACAGAGTTCACTGGAACTGAAACACACACACACCAACCACCTTCAGACCTTCCCATTCAAATTCTTATCCTGTCTTTTAAAAGCCCAAAGCTTTCTGTAAAACATCTCCCAAAATGCAATCGTCCCAACTAGTGCTTATTCTCCACTAACATTGCCATTTCTATATCTAAAACAGGTACTTCTTTCGAAAGCAACAGCTATCTTCTCATCCCCCTTCTGTAACAATTAACAGCAATTAATCAGTAACAAACAAGCCTGTTAGCTCCTACCATCAGATGGAGGATGCTCCCCTCTCCTTTATAAGTAAGCTGAAAATAATAATGTTCTCCTAAATGGATTATGTGAGCATTCAAGAAAGAAAAAAGTTACGTGCCTGGAAAAAAAAATTTTTTTATAACTTAAGTATTCACTCATATTCAAGATTTGAGTAATCTTGTTATATGTACCAACTTTATTCTACCACTTGTTTTAAGGAATCCGTAATCAACGAAAGCAAAACATGAAACCAGTCAAATAGCTAATAGTTCATATAAGATTTAAACGAAACACAGCCATTTAAAAAAAAAGTTCAAGTGTACATAAACAAGGACCAAAAATCCACACTCTGGTGTGGGTTCCTGATCACGGAGAATCAGAGAGCTTTTTAGAAGTTATTTCTAAAATTGCTAAGTGTCCTTCACTTTAAGCTGTCGTTTCCTTCCAAATAATCTCACTTAATGAAACTGACAAATCATTCATTGCAATTCTGTCTGAACTGTAATTACAACAGAAACAGTTACAGTACATTTGTATCTTTGTCAGTGAAATGCTTATAATAAGGAAAAAAATCTGATTGAACTCTCCATTGAGTAGCACTCAGTGCACCACCTAGTGGAAGTTGTGTAACATCGTAATTAATATTTTTTTTAAAGGACAAACTCTAGGTAAGAATACAATACTATACAAACAGCCTAAATCTTTCCAGTTTCCCACACTGCAAGAGGGCTGCGTTCATAAGAGAGGACTCATTTCCCGTACAAACTAACAAACTGAAAAAGGTTTCTTAATGGAAATCCTTGGGCGCTAGAAATTTTGACAGGAGAGTAAAAATTAAGACATTAATGCAAAAACAAATTGAATCAGAGATAGGGCTTGTATAAGCGATGCCTTATATCTTACAAGAATAAGTTATGTCAAAATGGCATACAGACGCATGAAAAGGGACTTCATGATTAGAAGAGTTCCATTCAGTAATTCATAAGACATTTCCATATTCACGATTACTAATTAGTTTAACCTAGCAATTCGGAATTCCCCAAGCCTTGACACCATTCGAGAGGTTCCTCCCAACTAGCCATCTTAAGCCTGCTCTCCATTAACCCCCAAACTCCTTTGTTTGCACTATTCTGAGAAATAAATGATTTTTACATTTTCAACTTTTCTACTAAATTTATAGTTAACCTTTCCCAAAAAGCCCCAAGTCATGACCAGAATGCATCATGCTTCATTTTTATTTGCTTTATGTATATTAATTATTTCAACTCAGAAAACAGTACTGAAGTCCACTGCTAAGCTACAGATGCAAACACAGATAAGATAGGGTTCTCTAATTTGGAAAATCTCCCCAAAATTTAAAATAGATTTTCACATAGCACCACTAGGAATTTGTTTTGTTTTGCCTGTGTGAAAAGTTACCTTTCTGGTGTGATTCAAACTATCTCAACAAACTCGAGGAGGGGGAAGAAAAAAAACCTAAGAGACACTATTTCTTTACTTGGAAAAAACTATCTCCGTCTGTGATTCTTGTACCACGTGATCAAATCGGTATACAGAAGCTTACTTGATGGTGGGAACCTTAGTAGATCCTGAATTAAATCCACTACGGGTACAAAATAAAGTAGGAGTCAGGTGACCTGGGGCAGACTTCTCCTCATCTCTAAGGCTTTCACTTTATGTACTTGTGAAATAGGCATGATATGCACTACCTACCTCCCAAAAGAAGGATTAAAAAATTGACAGTCTATGAGTCTCAAAAGACCTAAATGGAAATACAGGTATCCCCTGTTTTTCATAAGCTCGTGTTACACTACTTTGCTTTTACGACAGACCTCAGTATCTCTTTTTACTAACTGGAAGAAACCCACAGAGGTGTTTGTTTGGCATTAGCTGGTATAGAGACAGCACACACCAGGGAACAGCTGGAGTGGCAGAACCAAGCTCCTTCCCTGGGAACTCCACTCAGCATCTCAGCAACAAGCCCCCGGCAGCTTTGACCTCTGTCTGAGCATCTGTGCTGTATCTTGACTTATTTGACATTAGCAAAATGTATCCTAAGGTATCAGAAAAGCCTAAGAGGTTTTTGGGGAGTAACACTAAAAAAATTTCCCATATACATTAATAGTAAGTGTTTTTTGTGCTTTGCAGCCCTTCGGTTTAGAAAAGATTTCATAGGAACGCTGTGTTTTCAGACAGCAGGGAAAACCTGTACTGGTGAGAACTGGAGTGCACCTAGAAGCGGAGAACACTGCTCCAAGAGTTCTCACGGTGCCATTACTGCCCAAACCCGGTGACCTTCACCATTTCACTTGTGAACAAATAGTGAATGAAAACAAAGGTTATTAAGCAAGTCAAAGAAAAGGTAGTAACAATTCAAGGTGCAAATCTGTAATAAATTGGCTTGTCTGCAAAGTATTACCGCATGAGTACCAAGCAGGTGCATTCCTAAAACCTAAAACCCAGAAATTGTTTTTAGAGAAGCTCTTCTCATTTGAATGCTAATGTTTAAAAAAAATTAGAAGAAAAAAGAATCACAATTCTACTCCCACCCATGACAGAGTGACAGAAACAAGGTCCCACCCCCACAATCCTTTCAAACCTGCGCAGGCATTCCTCATCAACATTCCTCCCCCTCACTCCTATCGCACCTTCCCCACCCCAGACAAAGGTGAGTCACACTGCTGGGTCTACCTGTCACTTAAGGAAAAGTCCCCAAACAAGTTCACGTTAAAGACTGCTCTTAATTTAAAAAATAACAAGTAAACAGTGTTAATGTGTAAATGGCACTGCAATGCGCCTGTCTCCAGAAAATATGTAATTAACAATACCCAAGACACCTTTCTGGCTTAAAAAAAAAAAAAAGCCACTCAGCTTATCGCTACTTATCAGTGGGTCCCTTTCCCTCGTGAGCCTGACTCTGACTCAACTCCGCAGTTTTCCTCCACCTGCACGTTCTCGAGTCCTCCGTTGGGCCCAGCCGCCTCACTCCGAGTCCCCAAGGGGTCCCGCCGGCAGCTGACCCCGCCCCTCCCCCGCCCGGCCCCGCCCCCACCTCCCCGCAAGGTGTCGCCGCCGCCGCGGGCTCCCGGGCGGAGGCGCCTTGAGGAGGGCGGAAGGCTCGGGTGGCGCGGCCCGGCTCGGCCCGGTTGCCGCCTGCGGGAGCAGCAAGGGGAGCAGACCCCACCGCCCGCGCCGCACCGGTACTCCGATAGGGGCTGCAGCCACGGCGCCCCATTACCTGCTCTGGGCAGCCGTGGCCCGCGAGAGGCGCGATCGCTCCGGCCGCTGCAGTCCCGGGTCCGGAGGCAAAGAGGCAGCGACCGCAGCCGCCGCAAAGGACAATCAGGAGCCAGCGGGCTCGGCACCGCCTCGGCGGGCGCAGAACGCACGAGCCCAGCCGGAGCCCGGCCCCCACCTCCAGCCCAGTGAGTAACCGACTTGGCCCCCTCCCTCGGCGGGGTGGGGCCACGGCCGGAGGGGCGGGAAGGGGCAGGGCCGCTCCGCCCGCGGGGCGGGAGCTCCGCGGACGCTTCGTAAAAGCCGTCTGCTGATAGGCTGCGATGGAGGTAGGTGGCTCGGACTTGAAGACAGCCTCGCCAACAGAGCTCCCTCATTGGCCAGTAAGAGAAAACAAAGCAGAATTCTGATTGGTGAGAACTCTGTAGCTCCTCTCCCTCGCCCCTCAATCAACGGAAGCTCCGCCCCACCCGCTCCGTTCCCAGGTGGCTGCCGAATGGGCTGTTTTATGGACCTGCAACCTCTCTGAAGCGCAAAACCTCGGATACCCGGGTTTCTTTGCCAGATGCGAGCGATTCTTTCATTCCCGTATGAACCTGATGAATAACAGCTAATCTTTAACATCGCTTGGCTTTAGGGAGGTCTCCTGGGTATTTTTTAAATGCTGCATAAGATTCAGAAGGAAATTGTCCTGTGCAAAAAAAAGGCATAAAATGTTTTCACTCTTGGCAAAATTATGCGTAACTTTTTTTTTCGTTTTACTTGTGTTCCATATGGGACATACTTAGAATGCACCACGCTGTAAACAGATTTATAGGAAAACTCCCTGACAGGAAAAATTTAGAATCCAAAGGACAAAATAAATAAAGCATAAACAAAAACCAAAAAGGGTAGTATACGGAGAGAAGTTCAGAAGATACAAATTGGAAAACTCAACTAATGCAGGCAATTATAAGAAAGGAATGTGACAAAATTTCAAGATGTGCCTTAGACTTTGAAAATTGAAAGCTGAGGGAGGAGAGGGGAAATAATCATCAATGACTTATAGTTAAGTAATCTGAGCTCTCAGACAATAGTAGGCAAGCCCCGTGTTATCCTAGGCACTTTAGAAGGGAGTGAAGCATAACTCACCTGGGGACCACACTCCCTTAACTCTCTGGCTGCCTTACTATTCTGCTTGTTCTTCCTGCCATTCCCATGAGGTTCTGAAATAGGCTATTCGAAATAAAGCACTTCCCCTAACAACTCCATAAATTAAATAGTGAAAAAATGTGAATTGACAAAAATCAAACCTAAGGAAGGAAAGGAATATTAAGGTGAACATGAACTTGAAAAGGACAAGAAACAATACAAAGAATAGAGCAAATCCTCTTTTTTCCTGAGAAAAAGGTAAAACTCTGAAGGACATTAACCTCATTACCCAACACATTTTTTATAGAACCCTTGTAATAAATGGACTCTTAAGTGATAGTCTAAAAACATGTGTCCCAGGTATTCTGAGCAGGTAACTTAGTGTTGAGATCTAAATATGTTTAAATATGTAAGGAAAAAAAAACTTAGCACTATCTACTATGAACAAATTGGAAAGAAAATGCTCCAAAAGTTTTTTTTATTTCACAATCATGCCTGAAATTCCACCACTAGCATTCTTTCTTTGGGATTGAATCATTTATATCAAAAATTATTCTTGTATTCATTTACTCAATAAATGTGCAATAACATTAATCATCAAATTCTAGTTCCTTCAATGAACTAGGCACTCTACTAAGTATTGTCTTGAACAAGGCAGACCAGAAGCTATTTATCCGTAAAAGAAGGATAATGAACCAGTAAACGGATACATTTACAGAAAGGAATAAAGAGAAGAAAAAAGAGTGAGCCGAGGGATGGAAGTGCTACTTGAATTTGGGAAGGGAGAGAGAACTGCTTCGGGTTGCCACTTAAATCAGAAAATGCCAGCTATGCAAAACTCGAGGGCAGTGGCATTCCTAGCAAACAGCAAGAGCCAAGGTCCTGAAGGAGGAAGAAAAGTGATGTTGTAGGAACAGAGAGAAGACCTTTTTCAGAGTCACCAAAGAAGTGGGCCTTAATTCACCAAGCCAGTGTATCAGGCATAGATCTAGGAAGAACCAACTATTTTCCAGGGATCAGCTAGATGTCAGGGTCTAATAATGAGAATGACACGGACCCAGGTGGATCTACAAAATGTTACTGCACAGATGATGGGGAAATCGAGGTGCTACGGGAACACAGTCCGGAAGGGGCCAAGGAAGTCATCCTGAAGGAAATGAGGAATCACGGATTAAGCAGGAGTCACCCCAGTGAAAGGCTACCGGGGCTCTAGATCCAGGGAGCAACAACGGAAGAACCTGGGACCCCAGTCGGGAAGAAAGAAATCTAATGCAAAGCCTTAGAAACCATTGCATTAAAAAATCAACTTTCCCAACATCATAAGCTTGCCTAGCATGGATGAGCCCAGAATGTAGAAACAAAAATCCAGTGAGAAACAGCATTCTGAGAGCATAGGAGCTGAGCAAAGTAGGAGAAGAAACAGACTGACTATTGTTTCACATCATCCTTGCCTTCGTTTCTTAAACAAAAGTCATTAAATAGAGGGCACAGCCCACTTTGAACGATGACATTCCTTTTAGGACTGTAATGAGTTAACAGTATTAATCCTATTTGGCCAGAATTAGGACAGACCTGAAGCCCTTGAAGTTAGAGATCTGTTCTACTAGTTCTGGCTTCTCCCCCTGCTTCTGGGCATGGCTTTCTCCTTACAGGTGGAACTCACGCCATTAGCACATGCCTATAAGAAAAGAGAGCGAGCCCCCACTGTGGAGGGCCAATCAGAGGAATTCCTGGGAACAGCAAAGTATCTCAGTGCATCGGCTAGAAGTGGCAGGTGAATTACAAGATGCAGCAACTAAGTAAATTACAAAGTAAATAAAAAATATAACTACCGAAATATATGGCACAATGCTTCAAAGCCACTGAAAAGTAACCTCTGTGCCCTAATAATAGAGTTCAAAAATCAGTTCTAAAGACAGAGAGGTAACTTTGAGATTCCAAGGGCAAAAAGAAGTCAGTCCCCAGGAAGGCCAGGAGCCAGGGCCTGAGACACAAGAGGAACTTGGTTGCAGTTTCTTCTATCTTCAAACCCACTTCTCTGTACTCTCCTGTTCTCTGGAAAACAGCTTTCCCGGTTCCTAAGTGCAGGAGTCAAAGTAAAGCTACCCCAGTGCTCCCCGAGCCCTGACTAAATCAACAACCTTGACCCAATCCCAAATTCTGTGGAGAGAGAATACAAGTGGCCTCGCCTGGCCTCTCCCTACTCTATCCCACCCTCTGTGGTGAGGGAGGTGGTGGGAGTGGGGAGGGTGGAGGCCGCCGACATGGCTGCCGGGGCTCACCTCTGTTCACGCACAGAGATTTCCCAGAGAATAGGCGCTGGACAGATTGCCAGAGAGGCATGCATCCTGCCCCACCACGTTTTCTGTAGTCAGTCAGTGGGCCCCCATTTTCTGTTCAGTGACAGTCTTTGCCTGGCCTTTCACACAAAGATGGAGGCCCAGAGGCCAACGCCAAAGTCTTCAATGGTGACTACCAGCTTTCTTGACATCTCTTTATTTCGGTTGGCTTCCAGACACCAAGTCCCCTGTGTCTTCCAGTTTCAAGCTGCCATTCCCATTTAAGTCTTCTACTAATTCCCAATTTCCCTGTGTGACGTATTCCTCTTGACATGGATTTCTTTGAAGAACAAAAGCACTGGCCAAGTTGGCGACTCTCCGTGAGCACAGCTCTCGGCTCAGCTGAGACCAGCACGTAGAGCAAGCAGGATACCAGCAGAAGGGGAACCTCCACCTGCCACTGTCCCTCCCATACCTATTCAGATGAATGTGGGCGGTCCTGTAACTTCTCTGATGGCTTTTAGGTAATAAAAATCCTTTGATCAGTAAAGCCATAAAATACGGTTTGAATTCAGAAACTGTAATGTGAATGCCAATCCACTTTGCTCACCACTTGAAGCTTCATTCAGGGATAGGCCTTCCCTGCACTCTCCCAGCTAGGATCCCACGCAGGCAGGCTGGGTCCTCCCTGAAAGGGGAAAGGAACCTCCTCCAAATTCATAACTTAGGGAGAAAAGAGAAGTTGGAGGATACCAAATTCATGCTCAAGTGTCCTACTGCAAGGAGACTTTGCACTGGGCCTGGCCAATGACTAAACCGAACACTTGCTCTCTTGGGTGCTTGCTTTCTTTTTTTTTTAACAATTTTTTTTAAGGATTTTGTATATTTATTTGAGACAGAGATATAAGGAGAGAGAGCATGAGTAGGGGGAGAGGCAGAGGGAGAGGGAGAAGCAGACTCCCTGCTGAGCCAGGAGCCCAAAGTGGGGCTGGATCCCAGGACTCGGCCATCATGACCTGAGCCGAAGGCAGATGCTTAACCGACTGAGCCACCCAGGCGCCCCTCTTGGGTGCTTTCTGACAATCTTAGAGACCTGAACATGAAACATCCCACTCTGTCTCTCCTGTCCTGGTCAATGCAGTTTGTTCTGGTTGCTACTTCCTCCCTTGGGCTACTTTCTACAAATTCACCTGTCGATCACCTCTCCAGATGTTGCTCTTGGCCAGGATTTACACATCAGCTCACAGCTCTCTCTCACAAATGGCTCCCTTCAGGGTCCTCAAGAAACATTCGTACATACTTCGCTCCCATCAAGACTCAAACGCACCTGACTCTCAGAGCACACGCGTCTTGAGTATTCTCTCTCCTCCTTCCCTGTTCTCTCTCTCTCTCTCTCTATCTGAACCTGCTGCCACAAGTCAATACCTTCAGCCTCTCAATTTTGGATATCTCAGGCCAAAGTCACATACTCTCAGAACCGAGAGAACACAAATCAGGTTGCCCTCGTGGTGCCCTGATGCCCCTCCCCAGGGAGCTTCAGGAGGAAAACCCCGGACCAGAGGTTAGGTAGAACTCAGCCTTGCTTTCTTTGAAGAAAACTTCCTCACAGAGCCTTCCTAAACTCCACTTCCGCTGCCCTTTTATGATCCTATTTTGAGTGAGGG